TTTCGCACATCTGATGTTGAAAATAATGTAAAAATCACAATGAACGAAAATTACGAACAACGTTCTCTTGATCTTGATGCAATAATGAATTCGACAAACAAGGTTTATAATATATCATTTCAATAATTTGCATACAGGGCGTAAACAAGGACGAATAATGGAGTTCCTGTGTTGGTTTCTGAAATATATACTTCCGCGGGAAATGATCTTCAGAATACTCTGCTATAATATCATCACTAGCAATACCAGTCATCAGACGAACTGGACAAGCTCAGTCAGCACATCCTTTCGTCGTCAACCTTGAAATTGGTCGAACAACACTTGTTCGTCTATAGAACGGCAAAGCTTTGGAATTCTCCGGCAAAGGAAGTGTTTCCAAGAACTTCAAATCTCCACAACACTGGAAAAAATTCCAATAAGGATACCTCCTCTCCCTATCCTTCCGATAGGTACGCACGATCGAACATTCTTGTGATGTCCTTTCGTGCGCTCCAAGAAATAAAAAAAGTTCCTTCATATCACTCATTGTTATTGAGATGGTTCAGATTATCATTATTTACAGAGTGAAAAATAAAAACATTTTAGTGATGTCTGAAAGTTTGATCTGATTATGAAATATCGAGAAAATTATAATCACAATAATTCATACATTTCATTAGGATGACTTGAAAAGTTGGTGACAGACACATACATAATTATGCACATCCTGTATAGATAGCTGATACCGTATGAACATGATTTTGTTGGAATATATAATAATAATAATAATAATAATAATAATAATAATAATAAAGGTCTTTATTATTTTCAAGTAATACTTATACTTATACATTTTATGAATAAAAATAAACAGATTTTTTGAAAATAAAGGGCGAAGTTCATTTTCTGTAGAGAAACAGTAGCTCATAGGGAGATCATGAAGATTCCTAATGATAAAAATAACAAACCATTAATTATTCTGAAATCACCTTGTAATTCATGATTAACTCGGAGAAATTCTTTAATTATTACATGATAAATTCATCATTATCTCCATAAGACTGTCCCAAGAATTCATCAGTTTCCTACTGACTAGTTTCATAATAGTTATCAATAATTGAGGAACTTTACCACTTGCGATTTTTTGTGTCAATACTTTGCAGACATGATCGTGATGATTCCAAATAACCAAGCAATCACTCTTATAGTTTGTTTTTATCTCGAGCACGAAAGGAAATTCATTGATATACCATTTTTTACTCGTGGCACTACTGACACTATTGAAAGTATTGACCGCAGATGCACCAACATGATTTTCAACCAGTCAGATGTGAAGTTCACAAGAACTAATTTTCATCAGAAAGCTGACCCCTACAATCAGATTTCACCAAAATAAAGCTATTTGAGTAATCAAACTTCCATGATATTGCTTCTACAGTGGTAGAGGTTTTTAGATTGGCAACTTGGAGCGAAATCCCCCATTGCACTCGAGCATTTTTTTTGGATCGGAGTGAACTTGAAATTCATAATTCGAGTTTTGTTTACTTTGGAAAATTTAACTCAAAAATTACCAGAAAAAATTATGAGTCCATAGGACGAGTAATTTTAGGACGAGTAATTTTTCGAAGGCAATTTTTCTTCGTTTAATTTCCAGGCAACAAAATTCTCATCAATATGATGTCAAGTTTACTTCGACGAAAAAAGCTCCCGTGTAATTATGAGTGAAAAAACTCATTACTCATTGAAATGACAAAATATCAATGAAATATCAATCAATCTTCATGATCACCCCATATATCCCAACGAAATCATGAACATACCTATTTCTTGAAACATATACAATAACATTATAGGTATCTAAACTGCCCCACATTTGAAGTGAGACCATTGTCGATCTAAATGAAAACCTAGTAGACGACCTAGTGCGAGGAGGTATATTATAGCTCCTGCCTACTAACTACCTAACTAGGTTGTCATCTAGAACGACAATGGTGAGACAAGCGAATATTTTGTTTTCGAACCGTAATAACTTTGGATGGGATCAACCGATTTTTGATTTTGTTGGGATTCGGATTTCTCAGTCAATTGGGTATAACATAATATTCTTAGGATTCTCCACCTTTCTGGAATCATGACCTACAAGATGATATCTGAAAGTGTGATAATTTTAGAAAAGTTTGAGGTCGCCCTGTTAGTAGGATAATTTTTTTTCTGACTGCGAGAACATGAAGTGTGATGTGTTTTCTCGAACTGCGAGCACTGGATGACAAAAAATTGTGAATCCTTCTCTTGAAATACGTCAAATTGTAATTTTCTGGGAAGATATCCACGAAAGATGAATTCCAAAGTGGAGATGTGCTACAAAAAAAATCATTGTAACAGGATGTTCTAGGTGTTCAAATTCTGACTGAATAAGGGTGTGATATTTTCAAACATGCGAACAGAACTCGATCGAGAGATGGTCTTATTTGAGCTTTGTGAAGAGTAAACAGCCGCTGTGGTGTGAAGTACCTACTTCTTGACGCGAAAGAAAAATCTCAGCTTCTGTGAAACTGCTTTAGCCATAGCGATATTTGCGACATACTCGTGCCAAGACAAACTGTTAGTTCGTAGGGAGGAATAAAATGAATGTGGAGTGATTATTTTATGAATACAATTTTGTTTTTCTGCAACCGACACAAAAGTCGTCCATTTTGATACCAAAATTAGCTCTTAAATTGACGTTTCTATTACTGACACAAAAATAGGTATGTTGCGCGGCAACATATTTGGTTCCTAGGAGCTAAAGTTGAACTTTAGCTGTCAAACAAAGTGTCACTTTTGATCCTAATAAAACAATCTACTATTCTTATTGTTGCTCCAGTAGTATAGTGGAATTTTGTTTCCTTTAGGAATGTGAGATTTCTCATCATCATCATTTCAAAACAACAATAATGTTGAATGTGTCTGATGGCTATAAATACAATATTTTGTAGATTATTACATGAACCTGCATAATTGTGACTGTGACAAAAGTCAGAGCGGTCAAAGCTCATTAGGATGTATTTTTTAGAGGATAAAAATAATGAGAATTGATGAACATACCACGAAGTAAATACAGATAATATGTAACACAATATTTTTTAATAAAGAGAAATTAACAACGGAATTGATCTCACTTATCAATATTTTGTTATACCAACCCTGGCCGCTACGAGAGCCTTAACTCTTCTCGGCATACTGTATATTGAAGCTCTTGATGTGGAGAAATACTGTCCAATGTCTTCAACATTTAATCCAAGATATCTCATTCTGAGAACCATTTGTAATAATTGTTCATTAGTTAGTCGTAGCATATTTTATTACAATAATCAAAAGTATGACAACTTCTGATTACTTCCCAGATAACAGGAGACATTGGTATTGGTATTGGTAGGTTGGATGGTGACAGATGCGCTGCGACCCAATTAGATCTATTGTGCCCCATCTGCTCCTGCTATATCAATAAGGATTTCTTGTTCATAGCAGCCCCTCGAGATTCAATTCCTTCAGGAATTTGAGGATTTTGAGGGGGTCTAGCTGTGGTATTTCTTCCACAGTCAGCTGGTGTGTTCCCAGTATGGGCAGTATGTTCAATCTTTTGTGATGTACAGCGTCACACTCCATCAGTATGTGATGGGGTGTTTCTGGTTCTTCCAACAGGATACTATACCGAGAGGTTAACCAATGAATTTCCGTTATTCAAACGATTCAAGAAGCCATATGTTGTTCAAAATTGCATATCTCAAAACATCCTGTATGGATATTGATGAATCCGAGACCATTTCGCGAAAACACATCAGACTACATGCTTTTGAAGTCAGAAAAAAATTTAAAAAATTATCCTACTAACGGGGCGACCTCAAACTTTTCTAAAATTATTACACTTTCAGATATCATCCTGTAGGTCATGATTCCGAATGGGTGGAGAAACGTAAGAAAATTATGTTATACGCAATTGACTGGGCAATTCGAATCCCAAAAAAAATCAAAAATCGGTTGATCCCATCCAAAGTTATTACGGTTCGAAAACAAACAAAATATTCGCTTGTCTCACTTCCAATGTGGAGCAGTTTATTATAAGAGTGATTTCTTGGTTATTTTTGATAATTATGATCATGCCCCCAGAGTTTTGACACAATATATCGCAAATTCCACAATTAATAATCATGAATCCAGTCATATATCAGGAAACTGAATATTTGTGACAGTCTCGAGGAGAGAATGATGAATTCATCCTATATATAGAACCTAATTAAGGAATTTCATCGAGTTAATAATGAATTACAGGGTTGTTTCAGAAAAGTTGATTCCTTATTGCCATTTTTATCATCAAAAATCTGCATGATCACCCTATATAATCCAGCAAAATCATAATCATACGGTATCAGCGATCTTAGGAGGATAAAAATTCACTTGAATAATTGAATATACAGGATGTGTATTAATGGATCGGTGATATGTGTCACCATCTTATCAAAAATCATCCTGTATAGAATTTATAATTATTGTGATCCATGATGGAATAAGAATTATATAATTCTCATCATATTGTATACCAAAATAATTTTCTCTGTATCTCATATTACATCGAATTTTCAGACATCACTAAATGTTTTTATTTTTGAATCTGTATAAAAATAATGACAAAATTCTTACCATGTGAATGAGATTTAGTGATATAAAATTACGGATTATTATATGACCGAAGAAACAATGCACTTGGCAGCTTGCAATCCCCAGAAGATGATTATAAATAATAATGACCAATTTGTAACTTTAATGCCCTCTATTTCAAATTCTGTTCATTAACGAACTATATGCAATGTTGCACGTTTATTTAGTATATCGAATACCACAACATACTGAAAATTCAGGAAATTTCACCGAGAACCATTTTACCTATAAAAAGTGCAGGGTCCTATAGTAAAAATAATATTGGTCCATGTGACTTCTATCTATGAGCTCATAGAGGGAACTAAACAAATATTATATATACTCACTGAATTCTTTCTGCAAACGTATCCATGTAAATTTTTTCTTGGTGACGAGAAATTTTCCAAACACCAAGCCCTAATCCAACCACATGAACGTATGCAGTTTTACCAGCACTCTTGGCTCTATGGTTCGCTTCTATCAGTAGAGTATCGATGGATATAGTTAATCTCTTGTAGTAATAGTGATTATCAAAAATCAAATCGCCTTTCAGCTCTGTGTAGCGTTCATCATTCGAAGGTAATGTATTTCTAAAATCCAATGTTTCTTGATAATTTAGACAGTGTTCTTCATAAAATTCTGCAAAGAGCTTGTGAGTACTTTGCTGGACTGTTCTTCCATATCCATTTTGTTCTGTATTTTGATTGGGACTTATAACTATCTCCTGATATTCCATAACACCAGACTTCTTTAATCTTGGACCAATCATTCCAATAATTATTCCTTCGTCCATAATATTTTCTCTGTTTGTCGCAAATTTTGCCATATTATTTCTATCGCCAATATTCACGAAATATGTATACGAACTTACTGATAGAAAAACCGATAATTTTATTTCATCATAAGAAAGACAATGTTCAATAACCAATGGAGGCGCTTCTTCTTCTGTCCCAATTGTTTCCCAATTTTTTATTCCCCTTTCTCTGTTCAACAGTAAGAATAGGTCATCAATGCCGACGAACATAACTGCACGTTTTCTCAGAAGCCTTTCTATAAAATCCAAGAGGGTCATGTCTTTGTATAAGTTCTTTTCCTTGCTAGTGCCGTGTTTTGTCTTGAATACCAAAAACTTGCAGCATAGCTCCAAAGCATTTTCATGGATGAGCGGATACACAGAGTTTATGTTTCTCTCCAGAATATTTCGTTGTACGTTATTCCTCAAGACCATGCACCTGCCTGTATCAACTGGAAAATCTATTTGGAACTCAGCGCTGTTGGTTATAATTTCTTCTAGAGTTTGTGGAGGTACATTTTCAATTTTACTCTTGATCAACAAATTGAACGAATCATTAGACCAATTGGGTGGCTTTGGAGACCAGTTGGGTACAGCCATTGTAACAACGTTTCACCTATAACATAAAATATAACATGATAATTAAGGCATCCTCATGCGGTAGGATTCAACTAAACTGGCTCAACATGAAACGTAGAATTGCATTTTTTCGATCTTTGAATCATCATAACTTTCGATTGCCTCAAACGATTTAGAATTCTTGTTCAGTTTTTGAATACTATAATAAGATATGATATAAGATCCTACAAAATAATAATCAAAGCTGTGCAGTTTTAAAAAATCAAAGGCCTCCCGTTTGGAAGAACACTTTTTCTATTTTCTTTGTGACATGCAGTTACATGTATAGAATTGGTCAAGGACGATTACTAAAGCTAAAACTAACTAACTTAAATATAACTAAAACTAAGTCTTCAAAATTCATCTAAGGAGTAAAATCCACCATTTATTAGGTGTTTCCTAAGACATTGCTTGAATGCTTTCAATGTAACACATGATTTAATGTCGGCGGAAGTTTATTGAACAGCCTTTGCCCAGTCACAGTAGGTGATCTGTATAATAGATTTGTTCTTGAAAATGGCACATGTAGGTCATTTTGCTGTCTTGTGTTGATAGAATGAATTTGTTTGTTAGTTTTAAAAGAGGTTATGTTAGAAAATATAAAAACACATACTTCAAAAGTATACAAACACGGTAAAGTTAAAATTTCATAAGATTTAAAAAAACTTCGACAACTAGTGGTACGAGAAACACCAGCGATACAACGAATTAATTTCTTCTGCGAGATGAAGACATCATTGAAACAAGTGGATGATCCCCAAAAACATATTCCGTATCTTAGTCGTAATTCGGCCTGTGCATAATATAACATTATCAATTGTTTCTCTGTTAAAACTGATCTCATGTTTCTGCAAAGATAGATAACGGAGTTGAGTTTTAAAATAACTGACTCACAGTGTCTCCTCCAGTCAAGGCACTCATCAATGTATAGGCCTAGAAACCTCACGTATGACACATTTTCCAACACTTTATTATTGATGTTTAAATGTATGTTTGGTACTTGTTTTTGTTTTTGATGAAAATATATTGACTGTGTTTTTTCTGCATTTGGATGAAGTGAATTCATGCAGAACCAATCATACAACCTAGAAAGAACTTCATTACATTTTTCCTCGAAGGAATAATTAGATTTTTCCGATATGAGTATGGATGTATCGTCCGCATCGTCTAGGTACTGTTCAGAAATTTTTAGAATTGTCACACTCGTTACTCTAATATAAATATTTTTCTGCAACCGACACAAAAGTCGTCCATTTTGATACCAAAATTAGCTCTTAAATTGACGTTTCTATTACTGACACAAAAATAGGTATGTTGCTAGGCAACATATTTAGTTCCTAGGAGCTAAAATTGAATTTTAGTTCCTAGGGGCTAAAGTTGAACTTTAGCTCCTAGGAACTAAAAGGATGTACTGGACGTCATCAAGAATAAACAACATTGCGACGGTTGGTTATTTCGGTTGAGACTCATACCTGATTTTTTTCCGATTTCAGCAGATTTGGCATTTTATACCCATGCTGGAGATATAAATACACCTCATTATAGTTTAGTATTGGAATTATAAACATCTCAGCTAAGTATTTTTGTTTTGATCAGGGAAGCCTTCCAGATTCAAATACTTGCTTGATCTGTATTTCATTCGTTATTCTCGGGATGGATAGCTTGTTTTTGAATAATCACGGCAAGCAATAGTTTTTTTGTCTCAAACAACGATATTGTTTAGCTTCATTTGATTATCAAGTCAAACCATATACGTATTAATAAACAATACGGATCATAACGGGTGCCAGGATGAAGCCAAAAATATCCGTATTGATTATTAATACGTATAATATCAAACACAGTGTAGTATGGAGAGGAATGAATAATCACTATTATCAGGATTATCATTGTTGATATGCTCACTAACCTAACATTTTCCACGTCTTGTTCCTATAGCTGGCACTGACGCGGTATTTGCCATTAGAGCACCTGGTCCATACACAAATATGACACTCTGTGGTTGTATTTATATTGAACATCCTAGAAAACCTAACCTGCTGTTAATGCAGGTAGAATATTCTCACCACATGGATTATGCGTCAATATTTGTTGCATTGCATACATATGGCACGGCATTGGTGGTTAGGTACTTCACATGTTTATTTGAGTTGATTGTTTCGGTTGCAGAAAAAATAGCATGTTTCATTCGGATCAAAAGTGACTTTGTTCGACTCGCAAATTTTGCTTTCGCTCGGCTTCGCTAAACGCTCCGCCTCGCAAATGCAAAATTCGCTTGTCAAACAAAGTGTCACTTTTGATCCTAATAAAACAATCTACTATTTTTGAAGATAATGCATAATTTGATGCTCTAATTTTTATTGGCTTTGTGTTCTTGTCATTCTGGTTCGAACGGTGGTCAAAAAATATCCTTATATAGGGTCGTCCTCAAACAACAATTATGTCATCGAGTAATAAAAAAAATCAATTTCTTGTTTTGACGAGCAGGAAAATTGCCAAGTATTTTTTATGAGGAAATCGATTGTGAAGTTTTCTGGAGATCAAAGCGTGTAGGAGGATTTGTCCTCATCATTTCGAGTTGCTACAGAATCGGTTGTAAGATGAAACCAGTGGAATTTTTAGAAGAACCGGATCTTTGAAGTTTCGTTCTCACTTTGTAATACATGTTTAAAAGATAGTTTCAAGGCAAATGAGATAGATTGAAGAAATATACAAGATGACGCCTCAATGAAGAAGTTACTGCTGAGACATGACATGCAACTGACAGAAATCATCCCAATTGCAGTAGATAAACGAGTAGGTATCAGGAATTAATTTTGTTTTTGGTGAACTCCGTTACACAGACTTATAATAAATGTAGGAAGACGTGACCCAGCAACCACAGTTACATCACAGAGGTATCGCAGCAATGTAACAATTATTATGACCTGCGATATCGCTGCATCCTATGTCGCATACGGCGCTGCGATGTCAGAGGAATGTTATTTTGTCCCACTCAACTTTCATCCATGCGAAGTCGCTGCGATAATTTTTCTGTGGTATGATAGCGATATATTTGTTGCAATGTAATTGCATCACAGAGATGTCATGTCACAGATTTGTTTGTTTCTGTAAATCGCAGCGATGGAACATTCGTAATATCACTAATATCGCAGTGTTGCCTCATCGCAAATGAATTTTTCGCAATACCGCTCCCGCAGTCATAAAAAGAATATCCATCCTTTGATAGTTTCAAGTTGATATCATGTTGAAAAAAATCAATATTCAGTAGTAGTAGCAAACATGCTGCAGTTTTCAAATGTATAGAGCTTAGACTTTCTTTTTCATTATCGATAATTTAGTTAAATGACACTAATCTTTCCTTGTGCCAATGGCTAAATGTACCCCTGTTCTGTGTATATTGGAAATAAATGTACTGACTTACTTACTTTCTATAAACATCGCAGTGATGGAACGTTTGTGATACCGCACATGTTACCTAAACGCGACATCTCAGAGATGTCATGTCGAAGATGTTTTGGTTGTGGAGTCACATAGTTATGGAAATAAGAGTATCCAGGCACAGAAAAATGATGAATTTTTTATATTGAATTCCATCACCGTATTCCAGTTCCATAACTTTTCATCAATAACACCAGTTCAAATCACATCAATAATAAATTTCACATTTTATCGAATTTAACAATGAAGTGAACATGGAGAGTATAAAACATCGATAAGAAATGAATTCTTAATGGGCACTTGGGCCTCTCTTGATCGTGAAAGAGATGAAGCTCACCGCAAATGAAATACATTTCTGATACCCGTTAATCTATTACAATTGTGATGAATGCATGTCATCTCTCAGCAGCAACTTTTTCATTTAGGCGTCATCCTATATATTTCTTCTTTCTGGTTTTTTTATTTGTTATTAAATTGAGACGAATTACGAAATGACCCCTATTCAGTAGAATGCGGCTTTTTTATCTTTCCGTCGGCGACGAATATATTGCTGCTTGTTTTTTCTCCGTTTCTCTTTCGCTTCTTAAAATTCACCGCCGGGGGCATGATAGTCCCATAGACCCCACTTAATCCGGCACTAGAGGCTTGTTTAAGTGGCAGCGCCTACCACCAGTTTCAACACCTTCCTGTTCAACGCTTCAACGCCATGAATCATTATTCTGCCTTCGTGATTGATCTCCTATATATGTGGAGTCTGGCTGAACTGCATCATCCCAGGAGTCTCTCTCCAGCTGTCGTCCTGAAACCTATTCATCAGGATTCCCTTCATACTGAAGCTGCTCCAGGATCGAGTGACCTCCAAGACTGGCTCTAGACCAATCACAGAGCCCTTCGCCCCCATTCTGGCCAGACCATAGGTCATTTCGTTACCAGGTACCTCTGAGTGCCAAGGGACCCACAGAAGACATACTTTTTTCGTTGCCGTCAGCCTCTGTCATATACGTATTGCCTCTGTAGGCGATCTATGCATTCTGACACCAAGGTGCTATACTTCATTTAAGTATATTTACAAAGGAACCCAGAGGACATTTTTGTATGCATGGTCATCGAATGGTGTAGCCGCAGAATTTTTTTTTGGGTTCAAGATCAAATGCCTTTGAATTGATACTTAGATTCTTTCCAGAATGACAACAACAAACGCCAAATTAACATGTCGTGTCAGTAGGAATTTTTTCTGGAAATCTTATCGTTTGTGAAGTTTTAACATTTAATTCTGGTGGAAACAATTTCAGTAGGTAATCAGTACAAACATATTCCTGCAATCGACAAATAATCATCTGGACTGGAACTATATGGATATATATTTTTTCGATATTACATTCATGATCATATCAGGCACCTTCATCAAAGCCACTATTTTTAATGACAGTTATCAAAATCAAAATGCGTTTCTCAAGTTGCACCCTATATACCGGGTGACACAGGAGACATGTAGCAGCCTGTGGTTTTTTTATTTGAAGAGATAAAATTCTGAAATTCAC